GACATATGGCCCGGTATTGTATACCTTGGAAGTGGTCCTGCTATTTTTAACGATCGTCACTCCAGTACCATCGCACTATAAACCTGTGTTGATATTCAAATAGATTTGAGTGTTAAGACACTCGCACACCAATAGAGAAGATATATTATATAGCGACGAAGAATCTCTACAAAGATCGCTCGTGAATAATATGTGTTGAAATAGAAATAAGTAAAGATTTTTGCCTTGATAAAACAGATTTATTTTGGGAAACATTTAAAATGGCTTTATCTTTTATGTTTATCAATAAACTATTAAATCTTTCCTTTTATTTATTGTAATAGTAAGTATAGAATTAATGTAAAGTTTTTAGTATAGATGCTTGGGTTTCTGAATACGAAAACAAAGAGAAGGAAATTATAGCATGTGCGCAACTTTCTGCGTACTCTTTTATAAACAAAACATCGCAGAGAAATCAATCACGTCTTTATCAATTCAATGATTGGCATTGTTGTGACAACGGTTACGTTACCATACGAAGAAATGTGTTGGGACTTTAATTTTATCAATTACAATGATAATCCCATAGTAGATAAAGATTTCTTTTTATAGAAGTAAGGATGTTGATAACATTGAATAATTTTATACACATGAAATATGTGTTCGAGAATAATAGACAACGCGTTACAACGCTTTCGTTTTGTTTTACGTAAACTGTAATGTCTTTATGGAGACGGAATCATTTAAATATCGAATTTTAATATTTCAGCGATTAAATTGTTATATTTTTTTTTGACAAGATAGCAACGCTTCTTATCCATTTTTGTGTACAAATGCCTTTACATAGCTGTTTAGTCTCGCCCATAAATTAACTATTTAATGACGTTATAGAGAGGACGTTTGTATAATATTGTTTTTCTTTTGTTCTCAGGGAAGAACCTCTACAACAATGAACATGTAGCGATTAAGATGGAGCCTATGAAGTCCAAGGCTCCACAACTACATCTAGAGTACCGATTTTACAAGTTACTAGGCACGCACGGTGAGTATTACGTATTTGTAGGTTTCGTAATGTACAGTCGCGTACATAAATGTTACATACTATTGATATAAATTTACTAACAAATGACCTGTTAATTTTAAGTATTTTAGTGCTAACAAGGCCGGGAACGCTTTGCGGTTCATCTTGTGTTGCGGATGTCCATGTGCGTCGGATCAAATTGCATTGGGCGATCCACTGCTCGTTTACCCTCTTTTACAATAAAAATAGTGAAATATATAGCACAAGTTAGAAAGACAGACATTTAAATTTATAAGTCAATAATTCTCTTGTTTTACCTGTTATAATTAAATATTTATACAGACGAATTGAAAACATTTTCCTTTTCAAACCGGCTTTAACCGAAACCGTAGAATGTACAAAAAATCAGAGTAAACGAATATCCTATGACATTTTACGTCCATTACATTCCCAGACACCCAAAGTATTCTACAGAATGAATAACAATTATTTTGTAGTTTAGTTTTTTCGCAAATAGCATATTGCACGCGACTGTACATTATCACGTAACTTTCATAGAGTACTCGTAACTCGTCGTCAAAGGCCGCTAACGACGGGTAATTGTTTATAAGCACGCCAATTAGCATAGCTGACTAACATGCAATATGTTTGTGTGACGATTTTTTTACTCTAGTGACAAAATATTAAAGTTTTGTCACGCACAGTTTGACTCTTTAGTTCAAACTGTCAGAGCTGACCATATGTAAGGGTTTTAGAGAGAGTCGATATGCCGCTCGTTACCGTTTCTTGTACAAAAATGTATTGTTATCTCTATGTTTTCCCACTGAAAGAAAGAGATGGCAATAAGTGTTTTGTCCAATCTCTCATCAGTTGACTCCCACAGCTAGGTATGCTCGCAGAACAAAAACATATAAGATAACCTAGATATATCTTAAAGTACTGTAGTACCTTGTTTTATCTAATTAAAAAAATAAAGATGACATCGCAAATTTTTCTGTTTACGTTTCTACGTCATTTGATAAGAGATTAATTAAAAAAACTATGAGCGAGCTTTATGTGTTCCAAAAACCAATTCTCAAAGAAATGAGTAAACTTATCAGATATGATAACAGATATTGGTGTGTAGTACTTGTGATTAATTCTTAATTATCTTCACTGAACGCGATATATCATATTTCATACTAATACAATATCATAAATATTAATCTTGGATGGATGGATGTTTGTTACGACGCTTCTCTAAAACGCCTTAATGGATTTCGGTGAAATTTGGCACGGACATAGAACAGTGGCCAAAATTTAGTATATTATTTTACGTATATGTAAGGTAAATACTCGTAGTTATGACTAGTAGTTTGGGATTATTGACAGTTATATGTATCTTAGAGGGAATACCAAAAGTGTACTACTTGGGAACATGTGGCGGCCGATACAACGCCATGGTCATGGAGTTGTTAGGGCCCTCGCTAGAAGATCTATTCGTTCATTGCGGCCGAAGGTTCCGGCTCAAGACGGTTCTATTGATAGCAATGCAACTTGTAAGTGCCATTAGCCACCGTTGGTACTACTGTAGTTAGGTGATTGTTTTTTAGACACAACACCGTAACCGATATGCGATTGTGACTAAATTTTTCTTATCGATCTCGCGAGGGCACACAACCCGTGATCATGGTGTTAATACCCGGGTTGTTTTACTATTCTGTTTGTTTGGCGTAGCAATGCTCTCGCGCTTTGACCTGTTTTTTTTTAATCGTTTATCGGGTATTGTGTTGTGTCGAGCAGGTGTGCAAGCGAGAGCAATGCTCGTTGTTACGTGAGTACTAATTTGTTACGCCCCTCCTCTCTCGTCCATTCCCTTGTCCTGGCCCGTGGTCCATTCAGCCCCGTCGACAGCGGAAGGTATCCCCGAGGTATACTACTTCGGGCCGTGCGGTAAATACAATGCCCTCGTGATGGAGCTCCTAGGTCCGTCGCTGGAGGATCTCTTCGATCTGTGCGGCCGACGTTTCTCTCTAAAGACTGTATTAATGATCGCCATGCAGCTGGTGAGTATATCCCTGTTTTGGTACAATCGCGCGCATAATAGTTTTTGATATTTAGTATTTGAAATTAAACGTGTAGTTTTGCGCGTGACTACTAATTTTTTACTTAACTGTTGAAGTATTAGCATTTTGTTACTAAATTGTATGAAGTAACCCATAATAGATATTACAAGATTCTTGTAGCCAGTTATTCTAATTAAAGGCCGGATGACGACTCGTTTTATCCTCCGGGACCGGCAGAATACTTTGTTGCAAATGATTAGACCACAGGTATAATTCCAGTAACATACTACCGCGTATTTGTATCTGGATTGTCAGAGATAATATATTATTTTGACCAATGTAACAAATTGTGTGCTGGTGGCTCGAGCCTACTATCTAGTAAATGGTTTAGTTTTAAGGGGACTACATTTTTTTAACTATAATGTATTACGAACATTAATATTACCCAATCACCTTTCAAACGAACATGATTAAGTTTATTATACCATTTTTAATTTATTGTTGTATATTTTCAGCTGCACCGCATCGAGTATGTCCACACGAGGCACCTCATATACCGAGACGTGAAACCGGAGAATTTTTTAATAGGTAGAGCATCGACTAAACGAGAAAAAGTCATTCACATCATTGGTGAGTTGAATTTTTATTGACCGTTCTTGAACACAACCCGTGCATTTCTACCGCTGAGAGTTTTGTAATAACATAGTTATCTCTGTTTTTGTTCAAACGTATAAGAGGGATGGCAATATGTTAGATACAAGTATTTTTGTAAGTGGGAACCACGTATAAAGTGCTAAATAATATCTCGCTATGCGCGATAAATCGGATGTTTTCTCTGCTCTCGTTTTATATGAAGTTTGTCGCAGTATAAGTGCACGGTGCTTATGTTTAATGTAACATGTAATGGAAGTTCTTTCAAATTATCTCTTTTTTTTAAATGTAAAGTTGCATACTTTTACCGCAGTGCTAAGGCTTTGAATTTATTCAAGATAGATATGGTAATACTGACTTTGTTTTGTTGGATTTGTCTCTAGGATTGTGGTGATTCTAGGTTATTTATTGTTAATACAGAAAGTAATGTTTTGTACAGCATTTCACACGTTGTATGGTTGCATTTCACACTTTCACGTATTGACCACACTGTTCGCTAACCGCATGTTAGCGAAGGTGTTTCTCTATACTAGTTATGTATACTACAGTTACTAGCTTTCGGGTAGTTACAGAAACTTACGGTGACTATCATAATTCTGACGATCTTAAAATCTAAAGGTGCTTCTTGATAGAAGACATGGTTTAAGTTACATGAGTAGAGGAGTATACTAGGAGATTCTATATCCTATTGTATAGCTATATTAGGGAATGAGGTAGGCTTCTCTATGTCTACCACTGAGGTGGATGCAGGAACTCCAAATCGTAGACTGGACCAAGGCGGGGCTGTGCACGGAAAAAGGGTTCTTATTGTTGGAGGCCAAGGCTCACTTTGGTTTCATAAAATAGGTGGTGTTTGTATGCCAGTATATTTTTTTTGCTTCGTTAAATATGAGAATCTTCAGATTCGACAACACGAATGTAAAATAAAAAAATATGCCAGTGCATAGAAGCCGCTATCAAGTTGTGAATTGACAAAACCGTTACAATCTTTTTTTATCTCGGCTTGAAGTATTAATTTAGTATTCGGACTAATATTACAAGAAGATAAAAAGTAATGTTCTTGTTCTCATGTTCGTAATACTGTCGATTGAGTAGATGTTCACGAACGGAAGTATCGTCCTGCGTTGATGAAATCAATTACGGCCTTCACAAAGGTCAATCGCGACCAAATTCAAGGACCACGTATCCGTTGCAGAAACACTTACATATTGCCATCCCACTCATTCTCCTTAAAACAACAGATAATAAGTTTTTAGGCGTAACTTATGGTAATAGGAAACCAACTGAGAATGAGGTATTTGTAATTTAAATGCTCAAGTTATTACTATCTTTGCTCGTATTTTATCAATGCCATTAATAAAAAGATTGACCATGTTGACGCATAGCCATGAAGATGCATTCGTACTGAAATTGAATTTTCTCTTTTCGGACTGTACTGTAACGTCCTCTGTTAGATTTTCCGTTTAACTCTTTTTCGTACGTTTCGACGTACGTGTAGAGTTTAATCCATTTTAGCTGCAGCTCGGATCATAGGATTCCATTCGTCTTCTAAAATACGATGCGGCAGAACGTTAACGGCTTTCGATTTGAAAGTCTAAATGGGTTTCCAGAGTGACCCTTTTTTGTGTAACCTATAAATGTGTTAGTACTGTTGAGAGTTTTGTAGGTTATGTAAATATAAACTAAAAGTCACGTATTTACCACTTACTAGAATTTAAGTTAGGATTGTGGATATAACGTGAAAGTTGTATTGACTTTTCTTATGTTCAATTGTAAAAAGATATAATGATAGTTTTGTATATCAAAAATGTTGTAGAGATCGAAATAGTCAATAAAAAAATCTCAAACGTTTTGACCTTTTAGTAAATGTCACCTATATAGATCTGAGGATAATTCGGGACAAGCAAATTGCTAATTAACCTCAAATACAAACATGGAAGTGGGCTAACGTTGTCACTTAAAGATATCCGTTATTTTTTTGCTCAGTGGTTACCCTTTTTAGTGCATGTAATCGGCTATAACATCTTAATTTGACTTATTTTATTTCACAGGTGGATTATACGCATTGTCTTATTAAGTCATAAGACGAATACGACCCTCTCAGCCTACATATTCCCTTCTCTTTCTATAATACATTCCAATTTTCAAATTTGCCAATCGTAACATCTCGTATCTATGTATTTTAGAGTGCATTTACGGAAATACTCTTTTCTGTCGATCAGTTTATATTGTCATGATGCAATTCGTTTTCTTTTTGACCGACTTCCCAAAAGAAGGAGGTATTCAATTCGTCGGTATATTTTTTTTTTTTTTATTTTTTTTT